GTAAGAACCTCGTATCCACAATTATAATACTATAAAATGTTTTATTCGATTCTGGATTCTCATATTTTAGAATGGAGTGAGTATGAAACAAATCACATAGAACAATTTAAAATTAAGTTTCCATATTTAAGTTTGACTGAGCTTGGAGATTTAGCTGCAATTAATCCACAAAACACTAGCTATGCCAAGGAATTGGGGCAGATCAAGATTCCACTGTCGTCGACAAAACTGAGATATCAGATATATATATATATATTGTCGGATGGAGTACTGTCCAGCTGGAGTAGTAGTTGTGCATGATTGTCGGAGAGAAGGAATCCCAAGCATATTTAACGTCAGCTTAGCCATCGTGATCATCTTCCTACTGCCCATGACACGCTATAGTCATGATGCAGACACGGATTAAAGCTATATTAGCCGTCCCAGAAACTCTCTCATACGCTAGCTCGATAGTGACGATTAGTACATAGTATATGGATGAAACAAAACGACGCAAGAAAACGAAATAAACGCACTTATATATAGTAGTATGTACTCCTGGATGTGGACATGATATCATAATTAATATACATGGATCGATCGATCTCCTGGATGCATGCATGATACACTGTCGGCGAAACTAATAATATGCAGTATTTTATTAGTACTCTTGAATGAACTATGATAATTTTCCCACGTGGCACATGCACAACTGTTGTGTGGGTGAAAACCAAAATGTAATGCACCTAAAAGTGATTATATCTGTAAATATATTAGAAATTCCAACTTAAATGAAAAGTCGTGTAAAACTCCAAACAAATATAAAGTCATTTAAATTCATAAAAAGATCCATAAGATAATGTTAAATACAACCATGTAGAAGTGTTATCCAAACTCTACTTCTGTAAGCGCTTGTAAGATATAAAGATATTTTTTTTAAGAAAAAACTTGTCCTAAAGACTAAAATTTGTTATTTTAATATTGCATAAACTAAATCGGGTAATTGCACATATTTATCCAAATTATTTTTACCTAATTTTCCCTCAGCAAGTTTTCTCTCAAAATCATTTCCCACCATGTACCTTGTTGAGATAATATTGAATACAAACAAAGCCATAAATCTAATATGCTAAACATGCAGCATTAGAGAATGTAGTTGCTAACATTTCCGATTCCTCTGATCTGTGTATTATCAACAAAAAATTTCACTAAAAATTTCGGCAACACCTCCCTCCATGAAAGCTCCATTTTGTAGCAATGGCTCGGACTAGAGGAGGAAGAAGGGATATATAGGGCCTGTTCACTTTGTTGCCAAAAAAAAACCTTACCAAATTGGCGTTGCTAAAATGGCATAGTTACCAAAATTTTGACAGGATTTCTTATATAGTTACCAAAATTTGGTAGCAAACTAAATGTAGCCACTTTTTTGACGACTTTACCAAAATTTGGTAAGGTTGAAAATGGCATCAAAGTGAACAGGCGATAAAGTTGGGGAGCTTTAGTCCCGATTGATAACACCAACCAGGACTAAAAATCACTTATTCCCGTTGGAGCAATAAACCGGGACTAAAAAACCTCTTTAGTCCTAGACTATTGTGAAAATCGGCCGACCGAGCAAAAATCACTTCTTCTGTAGTGTCATGCTATCTGCATGTGAGGATTATTATTTAATTTAAATGACTTTTTGATCGGGATTTACACAAGTTTTCATCTAAGTTGATGTTTCTACAATATATTTGCTCCCTAAAGGTAGTGTTTTATTCACTTGCTAAGCTGAATGACATGTTAAGTCAATCGCGTTAGCTAAAATTATTGAAATATTCGAAAAGATACAATCTTTTTTGTTCTATGGGAGAATAAAGCCAACACCAAATTCATTGTAACCATAGGCATGGCACATCTGGTCCTACTTGTTTTTATTTCTTATTCCTATCAATTTGATAATACCAACCATCTTAAAATTAGAAAAGCGCCATAATAAAGATATGCGAGTTACATGATAACATTTACATCCGAGAGCGACACGAGGACCGCGAGCCCATGTGTTAAGAGTGCGACATGCTTTGATCAGCCTCATCGGTTGTCCACATGTCCTAATAAGTCAAAACAACTTATCAGAGAATAAAAATTAATTTATAGGTAAAACTTTTGTACATGTGTTTTTAATGACTTAAAAGTCAATATAAAAACTATGTTAAAATATCTTAAAATTAACTCTAAAACTAAGTTTGAAAATTTAAATTTTGGCTTTGTCCAACCGATAAATCCCTTTAGCTCTCTCTCCACCATTCCGCAGTGGGCCAATGTAACCTTTTCTATTGATAGAACCAAGTGCGTACTTGGGATATATACTAGATAATACCATTGCTCATTTTGGCATGTCACCCGGCGGCAGCATCCTTTTGTCAAATTTGATCGAGCTACCTATAAAACCGGCGCAACCTTTTGTCCTATCTCGATCCTACAGTAACTAAAAGCTAGCTGGAAATTCTAGACAAAAGATTAACATGTGCCATAGCTGGAAATTAATGGATAGAGATGAGAGCACGGCGAAATCGAAATCGAAATCGAAATCGACAGCGATGGATATATCCCATCCATATCCGTCGCGGCAGTGATTCATCAGAACGATTCGGACGCACGCAATGGTTCGAAAGCGATATCGGCGGTGGTTATACTTCGTGTGCCAAATTTTTTTTAAGTATACGGATACACATATGAAGTATTAAACGGGGACTAATAACAAAACAAATTACATATTCCGCCTGTAAACTGTGAAACGAATTTATTAAGCATAATTAATTCATTATTAGCAAATGTTTACTGTAGTATCACATAGTCAAATCATGGCATAATTAGGTTCAAAAGACTCGTCTCGCAATTTACATGCAAACTGTGCAATTGGTTTTTTTCTCCACATTTAATGCTTCATGTATGTGTCCAAACATTTGTCGCGACAAAATTTTTAGAAGTTTAAAGGGAACTAAGAACTGCCATCGTATGTTGAATGGGAAGACAAACCAAATGTTGTAACTAGCTGCTGCAATTTTCTACCAAAAAGCGAGCATGCATACCAAGCGAAAACTGGAAATTTAACTAAAATTAAAAGTTTGAAGAAAAGAATTGAAAGTTTATACGTGTAGGAAAGTTTTGATATGATGGAAAAGTTGAAAGTTTGAAAAAAGTTAGAAACTAAAGAAGCACTAACTGTCATGTATGTGTCAAACCGTCACCTAGATGAACATGAGATAGGCTGGTTACCTAACATAGAGTCAATTATATGTCTCACCTTGTCGTTTTCTTCTGAGAGAGATGATGAACTGTACAATACGCACATGGCAATTTGTGTAGTAGTTGATGGTTGTGGACAAAATAAAAGCAATGATTCTATGGATTTGGGCCCATTGGAGGTGACCGGCCAACCGAGCTGGAACTGGAAGCCCAGTAGCCCACTTTCTTTCTAGGGAAAAGTACACCGAAGGCCCCTCAAGTTGTCATCAAGTTACAAAATCGTCCCCTAACCGCAAAATCAGATATCCGGTGTCTCTTAACTAATCAAAACCGGTCACAATAGGTCCTTCAATGGTTTTGACCCCGGTTTTGTTCTACGTGGCGGCTGAGCCAGCTTGGGATCCACGTGTGCCCCACATGTCAGGGAGCCACATCATCTCTCTCCCTTCCTCCTCTCTCTCTCTCACTCTTCTCTTCTCTTCTCCTGTTCTCTGGGCAAGTCAGCCGACGGCTAGGGAGGAGGCCGCCGGGACGAGGCGGGAGAGGACGTGGCAGCGGGCGACACGGCGATGGGTGACACGGCGACTGAGTTAGCGTGGGACCCATGTGGGCCTCACATGTCAGCGTGGCCACATCAGCCCCCCTCTCTCTTTTCCCCTCTTCTCTCCCTTCCTCATCTCTCTCTCTCCCTTCTTTGCGAGGCCGGTAGTGAATTGTGGGAGAGGAGGAGGGCGTCGGTGGCCAGCGAAGGGCGACGCGTCGGCGGTGGGGGAAGGAGCTGCGGGCGGCCGGCGGGGGAGGAGCAGTGCGCGGGCGACGGGGGGAGGAGCGACGGACGGCGGAGTGGAGTTGGGCGGCCCCTCCGTCCCTGCCGCCGCCGCCAACACGGCGCTCGCGGCGCTCCCCTTCCCGTCCTGGTCTCCTCCGCCGCCCTCGACTCGCTCCCCTTCCCTTCCCCTGCCGTTTCCATCCCCACCCCCGCCGCCGCCACCGCCCACCTCGCCGTCTCCGCGCCCGACTTCGACGCCGCGGGGGCCCTCTTCGCGTGCCTCGGCGGCCACGTGCACCGCACGGTCGAGGAGGGTGGGGCCTCCGTGCTCGCCTCCGACGAGGCCGATGCCGTGTCGTCGCTCGCCGCCGTGTCGCCCGCCACTGCCTCCTCTCCCGCCTCGTCCCGGTTCCTCCCCAGCCGCTAGCCGGCTTGCCTATAGAATAGGAGAAGAGAAGAGAAGAGAAGAGAGAGAGAGAGGAGGAAGAGAGAGAGAGAGGAGGGAGAGAGAGAGAGATGACGTGGCAGCCTGACATTTGGGGCACGTGCGGGTCCCAAGCTAACTCAGCCGTCACATAGGAAAAAACCGGGGTCAAAACCACTGAATAACCTATTGTGACCGGTTTTGATTAGTTAAAGGACGCCGGATATCTGGTTTTGCGGTTTTGGACGATTTTGTAACTCGAGACAAGTTGAGGGACTTCGGTGTACTTTTTCCTTCTTTCTAACGAACTATGGCCCATGTTAGGGCCGTCCTCTTCATCAGAAAATAAAAATATGTGATAGGAAGAGCAAACATTTGCACCATTCCAGCCTAATAAGATTAATCAAATACAAAGCCATAGCTTACCAAAGAAAGAAGCAGTAGCTCTGAATCAAGTTGATGTTGCTGAATCGGAACTATTCCTTCTGAATAAAGGTAAAACATAATAAACTGACTTAGTTCGGTGGCTTGAGCTCAAGGTTCTGGCAATCTGTGGCTTGCAAGCCATCCTCTGTGAGTCTGTGCTGCAGTATGAGGTACTCAAGACATAATAAAACCTGTACAAATTTAACAGTTTCACAGGTTTCTTTGTACAATATCCACATCTTCTCTACATTGATCAACAGCTACCAAAATCCTTGCCCCCCTTGCTTGGTGTAGCATCTGGATAGCAAAGCTTTAAATTCAGGATTAAGATGTCTGAGAGCACAAGGTTGCAACTGAAGAACACACCTTCTGAATTATGCAAATATAGAGTGTAGCTTTACGTGACTAGTCTCAGAATTCTAGTAATCGTTCCTTGTTCCTAATAATACATGTTCTGTTATTTATCACATATCTGTAGAAAGATCGGTGAGATGTCAGCAGTTTCAATAGGAGACAGGGATGCGGACTGAAGGTGGACCGGATCTCATGTCCTCAAGAATGAGGTTGAAAAGCATCTGAGCAATTGGGCCTTCTTTGCCTGTGTTAGAACAAGGAAAGAAATTAGCATGAAGTTTACAGGAAGCCATTGAAGGGCTAAAAGCCATCCACTTTCTGTTGCAGAGTGCAAAATGATACTCTTCCAAACAACGACAGCTAGGTGAATTTCAGGGGTGAAATTCTGTTTACCTGAGCCAATTATCTGATCATCCCACTGAACAACAGGTTTGACAAGAATACCACTACCAATGAGCATCATCTCATCAGCCGCCTTCCCTTCCTGGACACTCACATTCCTTGAACTGATCCCGCTGAGCCTTCCATCTGCCACTAGCTGCTTGGCAAGGGTCAGAACCCGTTTTGCCGTGCACCCGCTAAGGATCTTGTCGAAACGGGGCATGAGGAGCTCCTTGCTTTGTGTCACGAAGCCAACATTCATGTTGGAACCCTCTGCTACGAAACCCTCATCATCCAACCATATGCCGGTGAATCCACCATTTTCTTCGCCTTCCACTTTAGTGAGTGCATTTGGCAGGTAGTTTACACTTTTCATGACCGCAAACTGTTGAGATTTTATCGGTATCGATGATGTGATCACCTTGCATCCTGCTGGTACTGGTAACGATGGACTTTCAATGACAATAGCATACAGGGCTGAGTTTGCACAACCAGCTGAAGATAGCTGGAAGTCTCCTGGTCCAACAGATAGCCAGTACCTGAGTGATCCTTGGGTGCATTTTGATGCACTCACAGTTTGAATAAGTATGCTCCGAATTGTTGACCGATCAAAAGGCAGCGTGATTTTGGCCATTGATGCAGACTTCAGGAAGCGGTCAAGATGCTGCTCTAACTCATAGAGGTGCCTGACAGTAATATGACAAAGTTAATACTGATAATATGGTGTTTGGATCAGAACTGAATGGAAATTTAGTAAAAAGAATGATCCCTTCTTGTTCACTTACAATTTTCCACACACTAAAAAAACAAAACAAATTTCCTATTGATAGTCAAGTATCTGTTTTTTTGGGGGTTGGCATAATTGATTGAAGCAAAGATCTCACCCATTCATAATAGCTGCAGTATCAAAAACACCATGTCCTCTGTGGACCATGTGATCATCGATTGGTATCACCATTGCAGAAGGATTTGTGGTAATTCCACCAAAAATACTAGAGTACATGGCCATGTAATTTTGATTTCTGGTTCCAGATGCATGGAATTCATCAAGCCTTTCTGCAACCTATAAGAGAAAAAGTTTTTGACTTTACATATCTGTTGTCATAGCACTTTTCAAGACAAGATCCTACTCTGCTTGATAATTTCATGAATCGTGAGCACCTCTTAGACAGATAGTAAACCACATACTGTTATGAATACCCCTTCTCTCTGAAAACTAGTAATACTTGTAATTAATACTTCAAAGAGATAGGAAACACAGTAATCAGCATGACTGGAACTATATCCAAAGATGGAACTTGTTAAAGGGCTCAATTCAGATTATCAGTGTTTTGGTGCATAATTTAAGTTATTCAGAGTCCTATCAAATCCGATTGTGTTAAACTGCAAGATCAAAGTTACTAAACAAATACTCAAAGGTTGTCACCAGTTACCACCCTCATGTCAACTACTAGGACATGGCTTCAACTAGGACTTGTTGGACATTCTTACCTGTAGCAATATAAATGATGCTAGAAAATATACAGAGTTAACTTCTTTTTAGGGAAAACAGTAGTCCTACTTTGGTACATGATTATTAAAAAGATACAAATATATTTACAACAAAAAAGAAGATTACTCCAAATTTTTTTATCCGATTCTCCATATAAGGGTGATATGTTGTTTTTGCTCTTGAATAAAAAGTCAGCAATGTAATCCACAAATGTATTTGCACACTACTGTGGACTGTTAAACCGTAGTCAACTTAAAAAAAGCCTAGAGGAAACAGTGTTTTGAAACGTTGGGCTGCTCTAATCATACTGTGGTTGCAGCAAAATGGTTCTAAAAAATCTTAATACATACTAGTATGGATGTAAATTGAGTGGATGATAACAATGTACTATATGAGGTAGATAATCAGGTATCAGTCAAGTGAAGATTAATTAAGACAAGAGGAATGGTAATCAGAACAAGACGATCTCTCTAAAACAAAAGGAGAATCCAACTTCTTCTTGCAAATATTGTGCGAAGATGGTATTGAAAGTGGTGCCAACAAACACAGAAAAGACAAGGAAGTCCACCTCAGCAAAAGACAAGAGAGGGACATCATTTCCAGTGACAATGGTCTCGGCTGGTGCTGCAGTGAAAAGAATACCGTTTAGTTGCATGAAAAACATTATTGAAAACAAAAGGCATCATAGTCTCCTAGAAGCACACTATATGAAGAACAAAGCAATGATATCAGAGCTAAACCGAGGAATCATTAAGGTGAGAAAAACAACCATGCAAGGCTCATTTAAGGTTTTGAAAATCATATTTTAACAAAAAAATGTACAGGTATTTTCCTATCAAAAAAATTCTATCAACAAATGCCAAGAATTGCTTTCAAAACTAGCTAAAACAAAAAAGAAAGAAAGAAAAAAGCACCCTGGCAGCAACCTTAAAGTCAACATCAAAGGGCATACCTCATATTTAATCATAAAGATACGATCTTTCATATTCACATCAGCCCATTTTGCATATATCCAACTATTTCAAGCACATCCAGACCACTAAGAAAGCGACAGGGAACCATGACAAACTGTTACAATCTTGTGAACTACAAATTGCAGTTTTTTACTAACGAAACTGTCCTCGCATTGCATCAGCCCAACTCTAAGGATCATCATCAGATCGGGTCACTAAACCAACCACGGAATTTCATCAGCATGAGAACTCAGAACGCAACCAAAATACCTTTCCAGCCTTGGAAGTTCACTGTTATTACTAAAAAATTCAAAAGCAGTTGCTCACAGAAGACCTATACCAGGGAAAAAAAATATCCACATTCCCCCACCACTCCATATAGAGTTCAGTTCATCAACCTATGAACACACATGCAAGTTTGACAGAACTATGAACAAGCATGCAGATTTGACAGAGCTATGAACAACTATGAACAGACATGCAAATTTGAAGAGCAGACTGCATGACAGAACTACTGCATGATCTCCTGGAATCACTAGGATACTTTTCGAACTTATGCAAAATCTTAGTACCCCAATCCGAACTGGGACCCGCACCAACAAGAATGCAGAATGCAAGTACCGCACTTATATCCATTCCTCCATTATCCTGAACCTGAAGCTGCAAACTGAGGAGCTGGAACAAGCGGGAGTGCAACCTTTAGCCTCAGAATTCAGAACTGATAGAAGGATTTAGAACAAAAAAAAGTTTCCATCTCTTTGGCTCCAACCTAAGGTAGGAGATGGCAGGCGCAAGAACCCGATCAGCACTAGAACCCAACCCGCGAATTCGAGCAGAACCCAAGGAGGAAGACTAACCAGCGGTCCGATTGGAGCTCGTGGCTGCGGTGGCCACCGCCGCCCTCCTCCACCCGCACCATGGAGATGGGGTGAGCCCAGCAGCCTTCTTGTACGCGAGGAGGGAAGGGCGGGGCGACGGGGAGACGCCGGCGGTAGCAGGTGGGGTGGAGAGAGAGGCCATCATCAGGACACACGGGCAAAACTGCAGGAATGGACAGACTCTAGTCTCAGGTTTCAGATGCTGCCGGCATTATACTGGTAATGTTTTTTTTTTCCTGCAGATTGATGTGTCAACTCTCATCAATGAAAGCATCAACCCTATAAAAAAAACAAAGAAGAAGCATCAACCCCATCACTAGAGAATGCATGAAAATTCATTGAAGAATAACAACAAAAAATAGTTATTTTATTTAGTACTAGTTACTACTCCCTCCATTTTATGTTATAAGATGTTTTGACTTTGGTAAAAGTTAAACTGTTTCAAGTTTGACTAAGGCCATGTTTCTTTCAGCTTGAGATTATTATAATCCAGATTATTGGGAGTAGCTTATTATAATCTGATAAGGTCATTTAGGTGAGCTTTTTCTAGATTATTGGGTGAAAAATTACCCACCATGCCACCCCATTCCCTCTTTAGACTTACAAACCCAATAATTTAGGCTCTAATAATCTAGGAAAGAAACAACTAACCGCTTATTCTACTACAGATTATAACAATCTAGCTTATAGTAATCTGACTCAATAATCTAGATTATAATAATCCCAAGCTAAAAGAAACAGGGCCTAAGTTTATAGTCAAACTGTTTCAAGATCGAAAGCCGATACAGCCCCGCGTCAGGTGCTGAGTACGGCCGGATGATAAGTAAAAACCTCGGTAAGGAGGGTGGTGATGCGCCAATAGTAGTTGTATTGATTTGTGAGATAGTTTACAATGACCTCGAGTGTGCATATTTATACCTATGGGTAGATACTAGTCCTGGTTGGACATGAAAGAAACTTTCCTAAAGATAAAATGACACTCTCCTAAAGATAGAAGGAAAGAAAACTAATAGACTATTCTTAATTAATAGATAAACTGCCATGCCACATTCTCCTTGAACTCGGTCTCTTCTAGATAAACTTCCTTTAATTGATTAATTTCCTTAACCGAATATAGCAAGAATCTGACTATTGGCGACTTGATGATTCCTATTGGCCGATTCCAGGACTCTAAAGCCGATACTGACTCTAGGCCGATGATGACTTCGGGATTTACCAAATTTCGCTGTTAACACACGGTCAATATGTTGCTGCTACTCCGAGCAGTCCACGGGGGCCGAGCTTAGGTGCAAGAGGCGGCTGTGCCATTAGCTCGAGGCTTGGCCCGTCAGAGGTATGACCCCGAGCTTGGGTCCCGAGCAATTGCAGGGATGAACTTGAGCTCACCCTCGCCAGAGGATGGGCCAGGTTCTTGTTTCACTTCTCTTTTGTTAGGGCTGACGATGGTTGTGCCGATCACCCGGTCTGATGGTGTGTCATAGGGCGCCCCATGCAGTTGGTTGAGGGGTCTTGGGTCCCATTTCATTGACAGATTGTATTTTTAGAATTGGCATTCATCGATGGTAAAACTTAGAACCACACATATATATATAAATGGCATTTCTTGGATTTTTAATTTTTTATTACTTTATTAAGTTAATACACATAATAATGGCGTGTGGCAATGCACGGTTAGAGCCTAGTTTTTTAAATTTATTTTGGTTATCTAGATTATTCATGCCACATATACGTAATAAAACCACCTTCAAACTAGAGCGAGGATGTAACTTAGACTGTTTTTTTAAGTTAAAAGGATGTAAATTGCCAGATTTAAAAGTCGAAGGATGAAAACTAGACCAACGCAAGAGGACGTGGAGTGAATTTTTTTATTTTAACATTTTTATTAAAATATTTTTAAAAATAATTTTTTGTTTTAAAATTTACAAATTTGATGCCTCATGCCCTTGTAATGGGCCCTTCCAGACGGCGTTAAAGTTTCTGAATGTAAATTCTCCAATATAGCTCATTAGCTTTATGATTTTATAACTTAAACGTACATAATATAAACTTGGATAAAATCAAAATTTATATAAAAATTGTAGAGCTCGAAGAGATCTACAACTTTGTAGTTAACAACATTTTCATTTAAGATCATTTAGACATCCAAATATTCATTAGAAACTCTAAAACCTATTTTAACAAAATCTTAGATCTTCATTTTAAATGAGATAAGATGGAGACAAACTTTATATAAAAGTTGACGATGATGAGATCTACAACTTTGTAGTTTACTACTTTTCTATTTAAAATTATTTGGAGTAACGAATAAGCATTACAAGTTTTTTGAGCAATTATAACCAGGTTTGAATACAAATAAAAATTTTACATTTAGGCCACATAACGCCCTTTGGAAGGGTGTTTTTTTAAAACGTTGTCCTAGAGGGCAAGAAGCATCTAGATTTGTAAATTTTTGAAATAAAAAAATATTTGTAAATATTTTAATAAAAGAATGTAAAAATAAAAAAAAAATTCGAGTAGACATCCCTTTAAATAGATGGAAGGAAAAAAATGGCAGCCTTCCAGCAGCAGTAACAACAAGCCAACAGCAGGGAAAAAGTCTAATTTTACTATCTCAATATAGATTCAATGCAATTTGTATCCCTCAACCGTAAAATTGTACCCTTTAACTATTAAAACTGGTGCAAAATGATCAAGGAAAATGAAAAAAATACTACGTGCTCAATTTGAATTTTCCCAGTATGATTTTTTTGGATTTTAATAATTTATAGAATTTCATTTTAAAAGTTTTTTTTATTTAGGGTGAATTTCCGGGCGCTAGTCACACATAGTCAATTTGTTCCCTCGCTATGCGCAGGTCTTGATCAAGCAATGAGGATCTGAAACCTCCATTCGAGACTAAAGTTTAGCTTGAGAACTAGGTCGGTAGTTTTATATATGCTATTTTTAAAATACGTAAAATGGTTCATGTATTGTTGTATTAAGAGAAGAGTACGGATAAAAAAACTTGCCGCCCCATGGAAGACAAGTACCCAACGAAAACCTTTAAAACGCGATGTCTCGCAAACATTGTGTGACAGAGCGAACAACCACGGCACTATACCTTAGTCTCGGCTAGCATCCGTTGGCGCACTTCCTCCGCGATGTCCACGATTAGGGCTATCCAGCTCCTCTCGCGTTCGTATACTGTTCCTTCCAAATTCCCCAAGCGATTAAGATCACAAGCGTGTCGAAACCCTGTGGATTCTGTGTCTTTACTTTGCATCTAGCCTCCATCCACCATTGATCAAAATCTGGCCGGTTCGAAGGGAAACACAATTGCAGGTTGAGGCAGTTGAAAAATCCTCCACCAAACCTGTCAAGATTCCGGGCATTGGGAGAGAACGTGGTCGATGGACTCCAGCACTTGATCACAGAAGATGCAAAATCCATGATCCCACGCTGTACCAGCCTCCGGAAGTTAAAGAAATCAACTTTGACTTGATTACAGAAGTGGAGGGGGTACTAGCACCTCCTCCATTTTTCTGAAAAACAAATTACCGTCACATATTGCAAGGAGTGAAATCAAGTTCAAGTTCCATATTTATACCATCTCTATCCATAACGAATACACTACAGGAACTACCATAAAAATGGTGTTAACTTCAACTTTTAACATGTTTTATACCTACTTGATATAAACCTCCAAAAGACAAGACGGATGCCTCATTGAAATGCAATAGATTATAGATGTAAAGATAACGATTGCATATGGCCACCAATCTCCGGATCTTGTAGGACAAAATATGTATAGCCTCCATATTCTTGAGGGGACTATCAAACTTATAAGTCAGAAGAAAGTGCCGCACAAATAGAATTTACCAAAGTTAGCATTTAAATATGAAGGCGTAACAATATTTTGTTTCAGAACCAAAAGAATCAGTGCCACAAGTACCCCACAGATGTGTGCATATTATGTTCAATAGCAACCAAGTTTACACAGTATGTTGTGTGAATATTGCTACTATAGTACAGAAGAGTACTGCAGTACTAAATAATGATTAAGGTAGAAATTATCGGGTATGGAGAGTTTGACCCTTGCTGCAACAGTACAAATAACTCCCCAAAGCAAAAGCAGTATATATATAATTCAAAATTAATAAGTTGGCAGGAGTTGAGAAGCGAGGATGAAAAAGGTTTTGAAAGTTTCTAAAATGGACAACGAATAGAAGCCTGATAATTGATCTTGCAGTTAAAAGAAAGCTCTGATGAGTGACATGAGCTTAAAAACATCACTTAACAAAAGCCCTGCCCAAAAACCTCACTTAACAAAAGCCTAGCCCGGACCATACACCCTGATATTGCTGCTTTAGTTTGGACAATAGAGTTACATTTCTTTTCGCCGGGCCGGCAAAGATGCCGGCCGAAGTATATTAAGATAGAGCAAAGAATGTACATTATTGGTTACAAGCAGGGCCATCCCTTTTAAGAGAGGCAAAAAAGTCGTCGCTCAAAGGAGATGGGGAGCAAACACACAAAAAACCTCTCCCAACAGAGCTACAACAAGCCTTCTCACGGAGGAGGGATCAAACCTGCCGCCAGCCACGTTTCCCATTCATCCTTGATCGTCACGAACAGACAGGCCGGCGAGGATTGAAATAGATGAGGATTGGAACTCTTATATTCAGATGATATCCCAAATCCATGATTTTTCCCCTACTTTACCTACAGTAGCTCTATCTGTGGAAAAGTTTTCTTTTCTATCTACATATGGATGTGTTCTATCAAAGTCATACCAAGCAGTTATAGTCAAAGAATAGCTACATCAAATCAATAGGTTTTCTTTTTTCTAGCTGCTCCAGTGAAGAATGCTAATCACTTATCAATATAGGTAAGCACTGCACCTTCTATATTTTAACACATATCCATATTAAGGATATATTGAGGATATTGCAAGTTAATTAGCTAGCTTTTCTTCAGTGGTGATCTTTTACTAGTACTTAATTCATATAAAGCAATTTATCATTCTCTACAATCCACTGGAGGCAACACTGCCTAAAGGATTGTTTTCTATCACTTCCAAGTTTTCTCCAGGATTTAGCATCAGAATTAGCCAAATAATGTTTTTTTGAAAAGAAATTAGCGAAATAATGTGGAATGCTAAATAATGTTCCACAGTGGATAGCACCAAGTTAATTCAGTGCAACACCAGATCAAAAGGTAATGTTCAGTAAGCTTTGCATGCTTTGGTTCTCCAACTAAACAGGGAGACATGACAAAATATTACAATCTTGTGAACTACAAATTGCAGTTTTTTTTTTACTAAAGAAACCGGCCTCACATTGAAACAGCCCGTCACTAAGGATCATCATCAGATTCAATCACTACAACAAACAGCCATGGAAGTTTATCAACACGAGCACATAGAACAATACCTTTCCGCACTAGGAGGTTCATCGTTAAAACTAAAGGTTTCAATTGATCCCTGAGCAGCAGCATCAGGAAAAATATCTACATTCCCCATCATTTCGTCTGCGTGGCAACTAGGCTGAACAACGAAAGAAGGAAAAACTTCAGATCGATCACTGGGAGTGGGACATTTCAGAATTGATGCATAACTTCAATACGCGGCTAAAGAAGAATTAATGACACTAATATCCACTTCTCCATCATCCTGAAACTAATTAATCGCTGGGAGTGGGACACTTCAGAATTGATGCAAAACTTCAATACACGGCTAAACAAGAATTCATAGCACTAATATCCATTTCTTATCATCCTGAAAGTAATCGCTGGAGGTGGGACACTTCAGAATTGATGCAAAACTTCAATACGCGGCTAAACAAGAATTCATGGCACTTATATTTAAATATAATATCCATTTCTTCGTCATTCTAAAACTACACGTCAAGTGCAAGCGTGCAACCTTTGGACTGAGAACTGATAGAATAAATGACCTCAGGGAGTCAAGAGTTCAGAAAAGAAAAACTGAAAAATCTTTTCAGCTCGAACCAACCAAAGGTAGGAGACGGCAGGCGAAGGAAACCGATAAGGTGATCAGCATGGGAACCCAAGTTCCGAATTTGACCAGAACCCAACGAGGAAGAGAGTGGATGTAACAATATACTGACCGATCCGATTGGAGCTTGCGGCGGCACCCTCCCCCACCCGCACCATGGAGATGGAGTGAGCCCGGCCAACGGCTGTGCTCCACGTGAAGGCCGGGGCATCAGGACACGCGGCAAAACTGCAGGAATGGATGGATCATAATACAAGTGTTTTTTTCCCTGTCTCAGCTCTCGTTAAACTATAAAAAGACAAGGAAGAACAAAAATTTTTATTTTTTATTTATTTTATTTTTTATTTATTATTATTATTATTATTATTATTATTATTATTATTATTATTATTATTATTATTATTATTATTATTATTTATTTAGCTGCTGCTGCTACTACTGGCTAAGGCACAGCAACGCTAGCCTACTAACTCGTACACGTTCCAACTGACGTAACCGTAGCACGAGGCCCGCCAAGAATATCAGCGCGACGCGCACGGCCACACCACCGCCACTGCTGCTCGTCCTCCTTCTGGGAGGACCGAAGGAGGGGATGGGGAGAGAGCTGGGATCCGGTGCAGCGCCGGCGAGGAAACTGGGTCCCGCGTACAGCATGTGCGGCCCCTCCTCCACCCACGGCACGCGCATGCCGGCGCACCACTTCTTCCCCCTCTTCACCTCCTCTTCTTCTACTTCTTCCCCCCTCGCCACCACCACCACCACCTTCTTCTTCTCCTCCTCATCATTCTTCTTCCCCAGCTCCGGCTCCGGCGACCCACCGCCATTCCTCTCCTCTTCCTCCCTCCTCTTCTTCTGGAGGTCCCACCGGGCATCGTCCGGCGAACCTCGGGTCCTCTTCCGGAGGTCCCACCTGTCATCGTCCGGCGACCCGCCGCCGACGCGACGCTGCCCAAAGTCCCACCCCTCCTTCTTCCTCAGGTCCGGCGACCTCACGCCCTCCTCCGCCGCTCTCTCCTTCTTCCTCGCGTCCCACCGGGCGTCATCCGGCGACCCACCGCCGACCCGCTCGTGCCCGAATCCCCACCCGCCACGCGCCCTCCCGACCACCAACGCCGCCATCACACACACACACTTACCTCTCTGGGCGCGCAGAGAAGCGGGAAGCGGAAGCTCGCGGAAGACAGACACCTGCAAACCTGCACAACAGACAAAGCAAACACGTTATAATATCCGAGGAGAACTTGTGTGAGCTGATCCACCTTTTAAATTCATAACTGCGTTCATAAACCGGCGAGGCGGTACTAATCAAATACTACATTCGCCGGCGGCGGATGTCGTCGGAGGTGCCGAGAGCACGGGCGCGGCGTGGAGACGGAGCGACACATATGGCCCCCGAGCGACCAGAGAAGGAGGAGAAAGGGCTTGGCGCCGCGCCGGCGCGGGCGACGGCTGATGTCAGGAAGGAGAAGCCTCGACCGGCGGCGAACTCCTCTCCTCTCTGTCTCCGGCGCCGTCTTCCTCGCCATCTGCCGCCTCCCTACCTTCATCACCGTGGAACGGCGGCCACAACGAAACAGAATCCACCTTTTATACTGATGTACGCCTCCGATCGACCAGGCACGGACCACCGTCGAGGTGGTGCTAATACGGTGAGGCGGCGGCGGAACTGGAACTAGGCGAAGGCAGCTCAGGCGGACGGGATGGCGAAGTGATGGATCGACGAACGCGCGGGTACGGCGCCTCGCCGAAGAAGGGCGCGAGAGAGAGTGGGAGGAAGAGGATTCGAGAGATGAGGAAGAGAGAGTGAGAGGAAAGAGGAAGAGGAAGAGGAAGAGGAAGGAAGAAGACGATGGAGCTGACAGGTGGGCCCGCGCCAGGATAAGGTCGCTGACGGGTGGGCCCAGCAGGAAGGGGATCGTGGAGCGGAGATGAGCGCGAGTGGGCCGCGGGAAGGAGGCGGACTGGGCCAGCGGCTGTGGCCTGCGAGTAAGGGAAGGAAAGGAAAAAGTACACCGCAGGTCCCTCAACTTGTCATCGAGTTACAAAATCGTCCTCGAACCGTAAAACCGGATACAACGCATCCCTCAACTTACAAAATCAGTACAAAATAGGTTGCTCGGTGGTTTTGACTCCGGTTTTATCCGACGTGACAGCTCACTCAACATGGGACCCACGTGGGTCCCACATGTTAGCCTCTTCTTCCCCTCCCATCCCCTCTCTACCTCTCTTCCTCTCCCTCATCTTCTTTTCTCTCAGGCTCAGCAGCGCAACTGGCAGGTGGGGACTGGGGAAGGGGGAGGCGAGAGTCCGGCGGCAGTGACAAGGCGACGATGCAGCGGCGGCGACGACGCAGGAGCAGGAGGGCCTCCCCCCACACCACCGTCGCCGTCGACGGTGTAGGCACCAGATCCCGCCGCCACAGGCGGCGGTCCATGGCGGCGAGACGGATTGAGGACGTCGTGTGCCGGTCCCGCGCCGTTGGCAGCGGCGTGGGGGGAGGCCCTCCTGCTCCCGCATCGTCATCGCCGCCGCCTCGTCGCCCGTCTCCACCGCCGCCTTGTCATCGCCTCTTCGTCGCCGCCGGGTCGTCACCGCCGCCGGACTCCCACCTCCCCCATCCGCCGGCTGCACTGCTGAGACATGAGAAAAAATAAGAGGAGAGAGGAAGAGAGGTGGAGGGAAAGAAGAGGCTGACACGTGGGTCCCACGCTGAGTCAGCTGCCACATCGGATGAAACCGGAGTCAAAACCACCAAGAGGCCTAGTTTGCACTGGTTTTGTAAGTTAAGGGATGCGTTGTATCTGGTTTTGCGGTTCAAGGACGATTTTGTAAATCGTTGACAAGTTGAGGGACCTTTGGTGTACTTTTTCCTATAGGAAAAGGCAGTGTGGGCCAGAAGGGAAAGGAAGGGATGGGGGCCCAAACAAATAGTGGCCTTTGATATTTTCCAGGAATTTGATTGAAAGGACAATGGACTAGCAAAATGCCTGGTTGCAACAGGACGTCTCACGAAAATAAGAAGCGCATGAAGCGTGGTCTGGCACAAACAAGTGTAACGTGTTATCTCGTGTCGCATGGGAACCAGGAGTGCACACTTTGTTTCAATTGGCAGGTTGAATTAAATCAAGCTTTGCAGCAGCTAAAGGCTGAAGCCACAACTAATTAATGGAAATTTAGAAATTTCTGATGTCAAATGTGCAAGAAGCAAACAATACCGGCTAGTGATCTTCATAAGTACTCCCAAGAGCAAATTTAATAGTATATCCCACTACTAGCTTCAATACATTTATAGCCAATCAAAATACCCATTAGACACGGCTCCATAGCGGGGCTGTGACGTACCAGCCCGCGTGTCACTTTCGAACCTCGTGCAAGTGAGATTGGGCTACGGTGCCCAACGCCCTGCAGGAGCGCAGATTGGGCAAGACTAGCGGGACGCGCGCGGGGGATTTGGTGAGAGGACGGTAACGCGCGCACGAGGCTGCGGCAGGAGCACACGCTCCGCATGAGCCCATTCGCCCTGACAGGCGGCGGCATGGGCCTGCCAGGCCAATGCGTATCGTGTCGGGCCATGTCGGCCTGCTACAGGAGTCATGCCGTGCCATGCCAGCCCATGGGCTGCAGCCTCGGCCCAGGCACGGCACAGCCACCCGTTCCAAGCGGGAAAAAGTCCATTTTGCCTCCCTTAAAAGTCGGCCGAATCTAATTCGTGCCCCTCAACCACAAAACAGGATAGAACGACTCCCCAAAATATTGAAACCGGTATATTTGACTCCCTTCGTGGTTTTGGAGGGTGGTTTCGCTGACGTGACACTTACATGGCAGTGTTGACTGGTTCTTCTTCACACGTGGCGTTGACGTGGCGCCTATGTAATATTAGAATTAAAAATAGATGTGTGGGACCCACATGTCATTCACACACCAAAAAATACAAGGACCCACTGACTGTGGGGCCCACATGGTCCTCATCTCCCCAACGTTTCTTCCCCCTTCCCCTCTCTCCAACGGTGGCGACGTCGATGGCGATCCATGCCATGTCACAGCTGGATGGCGGTGCCGACGACCCCTCCCCGTCCCCCACCCCGGGCGCGAGGATGTCGCCATCGCGGATCTTCGCGGGGCCGCCGATGGCGCGCAGGGTGGCCGACGGCTCCTCCACCATGGCGAGGGGCGCACGGGGTGGACGACGGCGAGGGGTGCGCGCCGCGCGGGGTGGCCTCTCTCTCCCTCTCCCGCTCACTTCTCTCCCTCTCCCGCTCACTTCTCTCCCTCTCCCTCTCCCTCTCCCGTCGCTGGCGGCCGCGGAGTCGTCGCCATTGCGGATCTTTGCGGGGCCACCGACGGTGCGTGGGGTGGCCGACGGCTCCTCCACCACGACGAGGGGCGCGTGGGGTGGACGACGGCGAGGGGCGCGCAGGGTGGCCTCTCTCTCCCTCTCCCTCTCGCTTCTCTCCCTCCCTCTCTCTCTCCCGTCGCCGGCGGCCGCGAGGTCGTCGTCGTCGCGGATCTTCGCGGAGCCGCCGACGGCGCACGGGGTGGACGACGGCGAGGGGCGTGCGGGGTGGCCTCTCTCTCCCTCTCCCGCTCGCTTCTCTCCCTCCCTCTCTCTCTCTCCCGTCGCCGGCGGCCGCAAGGTCGTCGCCGTCGCGGATCTTCAAGCTGCTCCGCAAGCGCGCCCACGACTACAACTCCGACGACTCCGACGACGAGAAGCGCCTCTCGGCGGAGGATGAGGAGGAGGAGGAGGAGGGGGCCTCCAGCTCTGGTGACGACGAGGCCGCCGGCGCCGTCGTGGCGTCTGAAGGGGAAGAGAAAAGGAGGAGAGAAAAGAGAGAGAAGGGAGAGAGAGGGAGGAGAAAGGATGACATGTGGGCCCCACATGTCAGTGGGTCCCATTATGTTTTTTTTAATGACATATGGGTCTCACAGATATTTTTTTAATTCTAATCCCACGTAAGCGCCACGTGGGACGAAGACCGGGTCAACACCGCCACATCAGCGTCACGTCAGCAAAACCACCCCCCAAAACCGGTGAGGGAGTCAAATTGCACTGGTTTCAATAGTTCGGGGGGTCGTTCTATCCGGTTTTCTGGTTGAGGGGTACGAATTAGATTCGGCCTACAATTAAGGGAGTCTAAGTGGACTTTTTCCTTCCAAGCGAGGTCGGCTACTGTAGCAGTGTGCTCGGGCCGGCCCATTACAGCCTAGCCCATTTGGCTAGCTATAGGCGGACGTGCACACTCGAAAGGAGTCAGATGACGAACCAACGGGGGGCTGAGCGATCACCCGCACCCCCCCTCCCCCTATACGTCCCTTTCTCCCCTTTCCTCCTCCCTACTACAGTACACCACAAAATTATTTAAAAAAAACAAAAGTTAGACAAATTTATGTAAAGAAATATTATATATATAAAAAATTTGAATTCAAATTCAAATTTGAATCGGATATGTAAACTTTTGACTTATAAACTTTGGATCTATAAACTTTAGATGTATAGAAATACTATATATAGAAAATATTTGAATTCAAATTCAAATTTAAATCAGATATAATTCAAATTCAAATTTGAAACGGGTATATAAACTTTTGACTTATAAACTTTAGGTCTATAAACTTTAATTTTAGATCTATAAACTTTAGGTCTATAAACTTTAGATGTATAGAAATACTATATATAAAAAATATTTGAATTCAAATTCAAATTTGAATTCAAATTCAAATTTAAATCAGATATAATTTAAATTCAAATTTGAAACGGGTATATAAACTTTTGACTTGTAAACTTTAGATCTATAAACTTTAGGTCTATAAACTTTAAACTTTAGATGTATAGAAATACTATATATAAAAAATATTTGAATTCAAATTCAAATTTAAATCAGATATATAAACTTTTGGTCTCTAAACTTTAGATGTGTAAACTTGAGGTGTATAAACTTTAGGTGCATAAATTTACTAAAATAGGAAAGTAATGCGGTGCCAAAAAAGGAAACCAGGTGGAGGGAGAGAGGGGGGAGGGGGGAGGGGGAACTGATCGCTGGTACATCGCCAGGGCGATCGATCGCCAAACAGGATTTCCGAACCAAGGGTAGGTAGAAACAGAAATTGCGTACCCGTACATAGACATCGTATCAGAATAGGATGATATACCAAAA